GAGGACCGGCAGCCACAGAGGCTGCGCGCCCAGGAGCTGCAGGGGCTGTTGCGCAGGTGAGTGGAGCTGAGCCAGGGCTGCTGCAGGCCAGCAAAGGCACCCGGGTCCCAGCAAAGCCCTGGAGCCGCTGGGCAAGCCTGACCTTTGCCCCCTTCCCAGAACGGAGGTGGCGGCGTTGGCCCAGCTGGCAGAGCTGGAGGAGGAGCTGCAGCAGCAGGTGGCTGTCAGGGAGCAGCAGGTCCGGGAGGAGGTGAGTGGGGAGAGCTGTCCCTGTTCCTGCTGCAGCATCCATGGACCCAGCTGTTACCCCTCTACCTTGTAGAGCTGGGGGTCCCTGCCCAGGTGCCTCCAGGACTCTGGGGGTGGCAGGAGCTGGTCCTCCCCCTGCAGCCCTGGCAAATCATGTTCTACAGCTCCCTGGTAGCCCCTGCCCTGCCCTGCCCTGCCCTGCTGCAGGGCTGCTTGCTGCCCTTCCCTCCCCATAGGAGCAGCAGCTGCTGGAGCTGGCCCTGCGGAGCCTGCGGGAAAAGCACATACTGGAGGTGGCTGAGTTGCAGGACGGCCTGCACCAACTCCTGCAGGTAACGGCTGTGGGAGGGAGCAGGGCACAAGCTCCAGGGCCAGCTGCTCAGAGCTGTCCTGCCTGGGACCTCCGGGGCGGGAGAGGGCTCCGGACCTTCCTGTGCAGGGCATTGGGGCCTGCCTGAGCCCCAGAGGGAGCCCAGTGCCAGGAGGCCCCGCAGGCCTGGCACAAGCACCCGCTGTCCCCATGGCTCTGGCAGGGCCTGGTAGGGCTGGCCTGGGCATGGCTGGAGCCTGCCTTACCCCCCCCATGGCTGTGTCTGCAGCAGGAGCAGCAGAGGCACTCGCAGGGCTCCAGGGAGGTGGAGGCGGCTGCACAGCTGAGGCCCCGGCTGGGGGAGCTTGCCCAGGTATGGTGTGGGGAGGCAGGGGACGTGCAGGCTGGAGTGGGGGAAAACAGAGCGCTTCAGCTCCTGGGGCCGGAGGGGCTGGGGCAGGCGAGCTCAGTGGGGGGGGCCTCCCTGGGCTGTCGGGGGGAACTGGGTGCTGGACACCACCCTGACCTGCTCTGCATCTGGGCAGGAGAACAAGCAGCTGCGCCTGGATCTGCGGGAGGCTGATACCAGCGCCACGCTGCTGCAGGCCGAGCTGGACCGCCTGCGCCAGGAACTCGCCGACCGGATCCACCAGCACCAGAGGTGGGGGCTGAACGGGGACCATCCCTGTCCACGGGGCTGCACCCTCTCCTGCCCATGTCCTGGGCTGCAGCCACACCATGGCTGCCATGGGCACAGGTTACTGCTGTGCTGTAGCCTGTAGTATCTCATGAGCAGGGGCTACCCTGGGGCTCTGCACTCACACCATCCCCGTCCCCGGTCCACTCTGACTGACCTTGCACGGGTTGACCTGTACCCAGGGGTGCGGCAGCCTCTGCTCCCCCAGACGTAGCCATGTGGGCCCAGGCCAGAGGGGCCCAGGTGTGCGCAGTGGTAACTGGTGCTGCCTGGCCCCCACCCGCAGAGAGAAGGCCATGCTGCAGGAGATGATGGAGGAGAGCCTGGCATTCACCAGCCGCATCGAGATGCTGCAGTACGTGCGGGGCGGTCACGCTGTCTGGCTATTCAGGGCTGGGCCAGGGGAGCTCCTTGCAGCTCTGCTGGCTGCGGGGGGCTCTCACAGTGCCCCAGTGGCCCTTGCTCCTGGGTGGGTCTGATGGTGTACCCCCCTCCCCCCCGCAGAGCAGCCAACCGGAGCCTGCGAGACAGCAATGGAGCCCTGCGCTCGGCCCTGCAGCTCAGCTCGGAGGACAGCCCCCGGGCGGTGAGTGACCAACTTGGGCTGTCATGTCCGTGTGGGGTGGCAGCCCGGGAACGGTGAGGGGAGGCTGCTGGCACTCGCAGGGTGCGGGTAGGGTGCTGGAGGCCAGGCCCTGGCAGGCACCCCCCTATCTGCATGTCGGGGGCTGCAGGCTGGGATGTGCCTGGTGGGAAGCGAGGTCCCTGCTCTAGCCCCCAGCACGGGGTGGGGTAGGGAAGGCCCTGGGGTGCTGATATCTCCTTTGCCCCACACAGCCCCTGTCTCCCGCCTGGCGGAGCCGGCCTGGCAGCCCCCGGGCCCCGGGCTCCCCGGTGGTGACCTACAGCAGGTGAGTGGCAGGTGTGGGGTGGGGGTGGGGGCCTGTCCTGTGGTCCGCTCATTGCTGTGCCCTGGTGCAGGTACCGCGGGGACAACGACTCGTTCCACCAGTTTCCGG